ATTAACAATGCGCTCTAGAATTTTTGAAAACAAAGGTAAAACCGATATCGGTCGATAGTTATTAACATTACTTTTATCCCCCTGTTTAAAGAGAGGAGTTACTTTTGCGATTTTTATAGCAGCAGGAACTAAACCACTTCTTAGAGACTGGTTGATAACCTTACACAAAACTGGTGACACTTCACATTCACATTTCTTGACTGCTTTAACATCTATGTTATCGTAGCCAGCTGATTTGGATGGGTCCAAGCTTGATATAATCTTGCGCACATCTTGCACTGAAACTGTTGAAAAACTGAAGACTCTTCTACTGGTGGCTTCAATGGAGAGATCCAGGGGTATATGAGGTATTTTGTTACTAAGATGCCTTCCTACAGATGCAAAAAAATTATTAATGTGATCACTAACTTCCTTTTGATTGGTTATCTCTGCAGTTCCATGTTTGATGGTTATTTCATTGATTTTTTCCTTGGATTTATTTGTAATGACATTATTAATCACCTTCCAACATTTTCTTGTATTGTTATGAATGTTATCAAACTTATTCTTGTAATAGATGCCTTTTGCCAGTCTAATCTCTTTTCGAATTAAAATATTTGTTTCTTTGTATTTTAGTTTAGCAAAGTCGTTGTAGGGATTGTCTTTTATTGTTTTATAATAAAAATCCCGATTCTTTATTTGGTTAAGAATCTTGCTGTTAAACCAGGGTTTGCTGTGGAAATATTATATTTTAGGATTTCTTCTAGTTTAAGACAATGATTTAAAATACTCTTAGTAGTCATATTTTTTAATTCATGGATATTGTATAAAAACCCGAAAATTGATGATATTTGATTTGTCTGAGTAAATCTTTCAGTTACCGATGATATCGCAGTGTCGAGAATTGCAAAATAAAAATTAATTTTAAAATGTTGCTTTGCGTCTTGTATAGGCTCATCCTCAGTCTCGTAGGAAAATTGCGTTTTCTTTTTTCTCAAACGGATTGGTTGAGACTCTAATTGAAATAAGGCTGGAATATTTAATTCATCGCAAATTTCCATTGCTTCTGATAATATTTTGCCAAATTCTTGATCACTTCGAAGGTTTTCTAAAAATGTTCTAGTCTATTTTTTGGGATTGTAGTAATTTACTGGTCACGTTTATTTGATTTAAAATAGTATACCACACAATAAGAGAAACAATGAATTTGTAATTGGCCAATTTCTTAGCAAATCCTTGATCTTCAATTTTTGTTGTATTACCTATAGGTCCTGTTAGAGTTTTATCCTCATAAATATCCGTTAGGGCATCGTGCACGGCCTCCATTTGATAGGGAAGTGGCCGTAATGCGTCAATTCGGCTTTCCCACCTTGTATCGGTTTAAGTGTTAAAGAAGGCACGTGACGAAGCAGAATGTCCCATCTACGAGTAGATGAGGAAAAAAAACGTATAGGCATTGGACCAAACTAAAAAATGCAGTGGCAGCTAAGCAGCACTTAGCAGCATCATTGACCACTAGATTTAAAGAATGGGAGCTGCAAGGTACAAAAAGTGCTCGTGGATTTTTATCTAAAATTCTTCGCTGAACTCCGCTATTTTTGACCTTCATATTGCTTCCGTTGTCATAACCTTGACCACGTAAATTTTCGAAAGGTAAGGAAAGTTTTTTTAATACTTCCAAGATTTTCTTAGTTAAACCAGCGCCAGTGGTTTCCAAAACAGGAACAAATCCTAAGAAATGTTCCTTAATGTATCCACCCCGTTCGTCTATTAAATCGACAAATCGGATTATGATAGTCTGTTCAGTATGGCTTACGTCGGGCGTGCAATCTAAAATCAAAGAATAATACTTGGCAGATCGAACGCAAGCAACAATTTTTTTTTGTACTGCACCGGATAAAAGTTTGATCATTTCATTTTGAATTTCTTTTCCCAAGTAGTGAATATGAGTTTCTTTGTCCTGGATTTTTCGGAGATGTTCATGCATTACAGGATCAAATAAAGCTAAGTATTCTACAAATTTTAAAAAGTTTCCATTATCGGATTTAAAAATTTATTCATGTGTTCCACGAAATGGTAAATTTTGAGCTCCGAGAACACAAACCTAATGCCTAATCAATCGCAAATTTTCTGAATCTATTGTTTTGTTTTTGCCAAGCCGAAATTCTAATTCTTTCCAATCTTGAAAATTTGTCATGTGATCACTGCTCTTTTCGTGGCTGCTTAATATTGCAATAATATTTTTCCAATCATTTACCCCAGTAGTACTTAAAGTAGTCTTTATTTGTTTTCCAAATAGCTTACAGCAATAACAAGAACACTGCGTTTTTAGTGATGGAATATTGAAGCCACTCTTGATTGATATTGTTACCATTAATTAACTTTTTTTTATAATAACTTACACAAAATTTTCTTCGGTTGCTGTCTAATGGGAAAGGAAAATCCACAATTTGGACTGGTCCATTTTCTACAAGAGTTTGTCGTTGGTGATGATCAAAATTTTCCCAAGTTGCGGGGTCACTAAAATTTATAGAAGTCTGGATCATCCATTCTTTCTCTTGAATTTCATCAGAATCGTTAATATTACTTTCAGAATCCACATTTTCTATTGTTTCCTTAGTATCACTGCATTCTGCAACCAAACTACCTGAAGAGAGAGGTGGAGTGTGAGAACGCAGATACTTCAAGAAAGAACCTTGTTGTTGATGCAAAGCATTTTCCTTCTCTGCTTTTCTCTTACGATATTGATTTCCAGACAGTCTTTTCCTGTCTGCCATATTTTTGCAGAAATCTGAAAAAAATAATGAATCGTGATATTTTTATTATAGGTAGGTAAAGTGCCCCGTTTTAACAAACTTTGGTAAAAATTTCACTCAAATGAAATTTGTACCATCTTAATTATTATTCATGGGTAATTAAAAACAAAAACTTACTTTTTATTTGGTAATTTCGTGATTTATAAACTTAACCGTTGATTGACGACTTACTGCACCACACACTATATAAGTATTCAAGGAACAAAAAAACCGCACAAACTTTATCACAATAATAATTATTATTATTAATTTGACACTTTGTTACCTTAAAAAAGATTGTCTTTGTTACCATCGTCATTTCATTAATTTAGGCCTCAATTTAGGTTTTATACCTAAGGTATGAATTTTGATAATAGATGTCATCACTGCCATTTTTTAAACATTGCGCATGTCCAAAACTATCGTTGGTTTTGAAATATTTATAAATATATTATTAAACACAAGTTTAAATATTTAAACATTTAAAAGCTGTTTTCTGAATTTGTTGGTAGATCATATGGAATGTTTAAAAACGATAAAAAAAATACCAGTAGCGCCATCTATTATAGCGCACTTGTAGTAAATAATTTACATCTTCTGAGAAGGGGTAAGGGTCTTCTCGCTCCAACTTATAGAGGGAGTTCAATTTAATCTCAATTAATACAGAATGACATCAGTGAAATTTCTTTAAAGAATCTTTATAGATAACCTCTGAGTAAATTCAATAATTATTCTTAAGAAGTGTTTACATTTTTTAAATTCGAACTTATAGCTTGGTCGCAACCAATTTTTATTTATTTTTATATTTTAACCCAATTGATTTTTTCCGCTCCCTGATTTTGCCGCCCCCTGACTTTGCCGCCCAAGGCTTTTGCCTAGTTTGCCTATAGGTTGCGCCGGCCCTGCTTTGAACAATTTATATTTTGCGATAAAGATTGTATATTAATAATCAAGTCAAATGTCCTAGAATCGGTTTAAAGCACTGGGATTACGGCGCCGGCGTCCCTATGCGTCCAGATGCGCAACGACACCCTTTAATTCGCACTGTGGGAAAAACAAAATTATTAATCAAAAATATTCAGGCACCTAAATACCATTCCCAAATATATATATAAACTATAGTTTTTGATATTAAACGCAAATGGCACCATTCAAAATATATAATCTGCCTATTACGTAAACCAAAAATAAAATAGTGTAAAGATATCTTAAAAACTCTCCCTAACAGATGAAAGGATAGGTGATCTTATAATAATTATTATTTGCCGGTTCTTTAGGTGAGCATTTCTAGAGAAATCAAGGTTGGCCCTTCGGGTAGTCAAGGAGGCTCTTACAATTAAAGACTACGGGAGAAAAATATGATATTTATTGTTTCGAGAAAAACATGTTTTACACCATAGCGTAAAACATGTTTTTCTTAAAATAAAAGTAAATAAAAAAATATTAATAAATAAAATCATCTTTTACCTATAAATTCTTAAATCCTGGAAATTTTTGTTAGTTTTTTATTTAACATTCTTTTATAGGAAGATTTGTTTAAAAACTGTTTTTTAAAATTAAAAAATTAAATTGTTTTTTCTTAAAACAATAAACTTATCACTTAACAACTTAAATTACAATTATCAACCTGTGGTCATTTATTAACTTGTGGTCAGTAGCGTAACAAACACCATCGCAGACCCCGCACCACGGTTGGCAGCTGAGGGGCCCACATTGACGGATATCCGACTCCCATTCAAAAGCTCTCGATATAGAGAGGGGCCCCTAAAAACATTTGCTTGAAGGGGGACTCTTAGTTTCTGTTACACCACTGCTTGTGGTTTGAATTTTATAAGCTGGGAGAGTCTGGGGCCTACTCGTAAAGATTTTTGAGGATCGCTAGCCTATCCAACCGTACATTTACCGCTAGGTATTCATACCAGCAAAATAATTTTTAGTTTCTACTTATACAACAATTATTTAATACAATTTTATGAAAAAAATGTGTTTTAATATTTGGTCCAATGTGTAATTGAGTGGGGTAACTGTTACTGTAAGAATTAATATTAATATGATATTATTAATAGAAGTTTAATTTTACAAAAGTAAACTACTATTATAGTAAGTATAAAACGAGAAGAATTGTTTCCTTATATAGTTCTAGACAATCCACAACAGAAAATTTAAAAAAACAGTCAAATAAACATTTTTTTAAAATTTTCTTCACTGTGCAATCATATGGTAGAACGTAACCAAGAAATTCTTGACAAAGTTTAACATTATTCCCGAGCACGATGTTTTCTAGCACCTCTACTATTTTAAAAGAGTCTCTTTTCTATTTTTAAACATGCTTGTAACTCGTAGATTACCAGGCCTTCTTTACAACTACAGATACACGGTGTACTCTTCATTACTGCTTCTTTGCACCTTTGTTTATTTTCTGTTCAAGTGGAATGTGCTGTGTACGAACCTGCAAGCCTGGCAACATGTTAAAAAAATGGTGAGTTATTGTTCTTAGCGACAGTTCACTTAAAAAAAATTCTCTATTTACATTTAAACGAACAGTGTTTATATAATTGGCAGTGTTTGTACCAGATCAATATTTTGCTAACTGGAAACATAATACCAGGTAATGCTTACATTGTTAACAATTACTATAAACTAAAATGGAGTTTTAGTTTGTTTAAAAATCCGAACATTAAAACTAGAATTTTTCTAATATTGAAGGCAAAAAAAAGAATAATTGTTAAAAAACATACAAGGGATAATTAGTTTAAAGGCAATGGGTAATTTTAGTAAGAAATTGGCGTCGTTCCTTTTTCGCGCGGCCATTAACAAAATCATAGTTTGTGTTTTAAGGTTGCAAAATACCCAGATAGCACAAAGAAGTACTAAAAACGTCCTGAGTATATCTTGTATCAGACATTAGTAAGTTCCGAGTACGTCCGAATCAGGTCCTGAACCTTCCCCAGGACGTTCCAGGGACATCCGATGTTACCAAATCGTCGGTCCCCAGAACGTCCTAAGTAAGACATCCTCTGGCCATCCTGAAATGCTTTATTGGGGGCTAATGGACAAGCTTTACAGAATTGAAGAGTGGTATTCCCAAAGGCCCAGACAGCAATATGACGTCTTAATTAAGTCTTATTTTATTAATTTGTTAAATGGATTTTATTAAAATCATTTTAATAATTTGCTCGTATTCGCTTATTTTAGAAATTGCGATTACTTCGTCTCACTTTTGTTTAAATTTAAGCGTGCTCTTCACCGGCACCGATAGACGGCCTGTTTCCCTCTTTTGGAGCTCGTCGGTATCGGGTAGCCGTTTACCTAGGTCTAAGACCGTTTGGTATGAAGCACGCTCTAAATTTTACTTTGCCGCTTCTTATATCAAACACAAACAGTTACAGCGGTGAGAAGAAAGAATCGCATTAAAATGTCATAAATGTGACGTTTCCATTTTGACGTCTTAAAGAGTTAATAATACGTCCCTGGGACGTACCCAGTATATCCGCTATAATTTTCCCAAATAAGTCAGAAACTGGACGTACCCAAAACTTCCGATATAGGTCTAGGACGTTCGGACCTATGTGGGACCCGAAATGGACGTCCTGGGTACCTCTTGTGCTATCTGGGTATATACATAGATATAAAGCCATAATAGTAGTTATAATAATTTGTTGTTTTATTTTAGTAATTTTATTATTTTCATCACTCATTATTAATTTGTTGTTTTATTATAACTTCATTATTCTTCTCTTTATTTTTACATAATACATGTATTAACTTGTTTTATAATTTATAATTTAATGTTGTATACTTTATTTAGTTTTTAAAACATAAATCATGTATTATAATTGAAGTACATGGATAAAGGTGTTAATAATAATAACAGGTTTTTTATATGACTAGTTACTACAGTTATTAATGGCTGCTTTTTCACTTATACCATAGTGTCCCCTGAAACCGAAAATATCGTCAAAAATTATGATAGTAGAGCAGTTTTTGAGATAAAGTCAATTCCATATTATATGGAAAATTGACTATATCTCAGAAACTGTTTTACTTTTATAACTTTTGACGACATTTTCGGATTCAGGGTACAATTTTACATGAAAATTGACTGCTAAATGTTCGGGATACAAATGGCTATTAACGAGAATTATTAGTGGCTACTTTTTCGCTATGACAATTAGTCATGTTTGATTAATTCATTTTTAGAGAGTATATTTATATACTCTCTAAAAATGAATTAATCAAACATGACTAATTGTCATAGCGAAAAAGTAGCCATAAAACGCTTTGTATACATAAACTAAGAAAAATGATACAATGTAAATTCCCAAACAACTAAAACAAAAACCACTAAGTTCTCTCAAAGAACAATTGTAAATGTCACATAAACCCAACATGTTGTTGAAGTTACGAGCCATAACATTAATTGGAGAATTCATGCCCACATTCGTGCGTGAAAACTGAACACAAAATGTGTTAAAACGAGGATTTACACGAGGTAGGTATATAGTAATAGATTTAATAACAAATCAGTGAAATCAATTGAATCAGTGAGATTAACAAACATTATATTTTGACAAATCGATTTGATAATGATCATTTTCTAAAATTAATTTAAAATTAATTTAAAAGTTTAAATATCATTTAGAGAATGTATAAATTATTTTACAAAATATAGTTTATATATTTTATAAAATATATTCTCACAAACATGCATTTTAAACTATAAAACGAATTTTACGAAATAATTTGTCAAAATTTTAACTTAATTTTGATTCAATAAGTACCATCCGCCATAAATGATAAGTACTTTAGTATTATTTAGGTATATGAGTATTATTCAGGTATATGAATATTATAATATGGGTAAAATATTAAGCTGGCACATTCTAGTTTTAAGCAATGGCGGCTGATGGATTTTATACCAAATTTAAATGAGTTTGCGAAAAAAAGATAACTTTTTGCGCCCCCAATAAATATAATATAAATTTAATTGGTGCAATTCATTACTTACCATAGTTTATCGACAAATTTTCAAATTCAAATTTTATTTAAAAAATCCAAATCGTATAGATTTTATATCATTTTAAATAATTATTATTTCTTTGAAAAGAAATATTAAAAATTTAAAATGGTATAAAATCTGTATAATTTGAAATGTAATCTACGACCAAAACTTAAGTTTTCGTGTCCAAACGTTTGGCTGTGATATTTTCACCTCCCTACATTTCCTACAAAAATCATGTAAAATATAATATTTTATAGGTCCCGCTACAAAAATCTTTTTTTTTTAAGAAAAGCAGTTTCTTTAGGTTGGACCAACTATTTCTGTGTGCTTCCTTTTAATTTTCCTATATAAAGTTATAAACGTAATTTCATATTCTTAATTTTCGAGCCCGGCTTATAAAAAATAAAATAAAATGCTACCCCACTGATAAGTTTTACATGAAAAAATTTTGGGGTTAGAATATGAATGCCTAATAATTTACTGTTTAAGAAAAAGATACGTCATTATTTTTAGGGGTCACTGTATAAAAGGAAGTGTGTAATACCAAGTATTACCTGAACTTTAAACATCTATATATTAATGCCTAGACAAGCTGTTTGGTTAGCTTATTGGAAAATATATATAAATGCTATATAGCTATATTTTGAGATTCAATTTTCAACCCCTAGAGCAGAGGTTACCAAATTGTGCGCCGCGGCGCCCTTGGGCGCCGTGAAGGGAGCCCAAGGGCGTCGCGAGGCTCCCGTCTTCACCCCTTCCAATTAGAAAAACAAAATTTTGAATGCTTTATTTGTATTTCCGTGTTTTTTTTCTTCAAAAAAATTATTTGGGGCGCCGTGAAAATAAATGAACCTCTAAGTGCTCCGCAAATTAAATAAGTTTGGGAACCCCTGCCTTAGAAAACTGCCTGTGTTTTGGTCAGGCGCTGCAAAGAGTTTTAAGTCTCCTCGGTGCTTTCAAGTCGCCCCTTTACGTATACCTTTGTATCTGAAGTTAGCTATAGCTAGTCAAAATGTGTTAACTGCGCTTTCCGACTCAAGTTTGATGTGTTAGCTAAAGCACTACAGTGTTAAGGAGGTTCGGGCACGAAATTAGTCGCTAAGAGAAAATGTAAAAAAAAACTTTTTTTCGCAAACTTTAATTTAAATTCTGCTTGCTCAGAACTTGTCTATATAATGTCATTATAAACTCATATAAATTTGATGTGGGTCCCATGACTAATAACTGAGATATGGGTGTCCCCAAAATCCTCCAGCCGCCACTATAAGTTGTAATAAATGTTTAGCTAAAAAGACTCTTTTTAGCTAAACATTTATTACAACTCATATGGGCGATATGTTGTGGTTGGGATTTTGAACTTTCTCGGGAGGTTAAATAATTTTTAAATAAATTTAATGGTTTGGATAAAGTAGATCTTTATTGATTGATTGATTTTTTCTGATGTTTGTTTAAAAGGATTTGAGGCTTGTAAATATTTTGGAAAATGTTCTTTAAATGGGAACTTTAAATCGGTGTTGATTTGTGCCAAACCAAAAGTCGCACCTTTAAAAAAAAATTCTTGCCAGACTAGTATTATGTTGAGCACTACTACTTTTAAATTTAATGCGTTTCGTGATCAATTGTTTTAAAGAAACTTAAGTTTATAATTATAATTTTAGCTCAATATTTTCGTGGACCGAGAGCGCAATTACTTACATTGGATAAAATCTTTTCTACATAAATATAAAACTTTGTCCCTAATCGTATGAGGTATAAATTAGTGGTTTCAATTAACGTAAAAGTTTGTCTTATGAATATACACAGTGTTGTTCACAACCAAAAAATTAGTGGTAGTACTTTTCAATTAGTGGAAAAAGTTGGCAAACTTCTAACTTTTACCACTAATTATAATTGGAAAGCGGCTTTGCGCATGTGAGCATGTCAAAAGCGAAAAGTTTGAAGATCTGCCAGTGAAGGAAAGGTTATATAAATATTATTGTAATGGTTGTAAAAAATATTATTTTATTATAATTAATATTGTTTATGTCAGGTTAAGAAGAATGGACAATCTTTTAGCAAATTTCCTTAATTTTAGATGTTAATTTTGCGCATTGTGAATGATCGTTTTGTGTTAATTATAAGTATAATTAAAACCACTAATTTTTTCCACTAATTTCTGGTTTCTGAATGAGGCTTAATGTAGCACCAGAATTTCTAATCTAATGTAGCTAATTTTGCTATGAAAGTTTTATTTTTTTAAACTGTTAAATTGCGCTTAATAGTAGAAAGGTTTAGATTTTTTACTGTTACAAAGCAATCTTTGACCTGTCGGCCATTACAAGCGCGCGAAACGCACGAATTACAAAACTGTTTTTATAAAAAAAATTTTAGGTAATTTATTATATATTATTTTTGCATCAAAATTGTCAAAAATATTATTCTTTTATTAGGCTAGGTATATTAAATGAAAAAAGCGCAAGAAATATTTTATAAAAGTA